AATTAGCCCGCACTTTGTAGTAACATAAAGCATATGTTTAACTTTTAACTATATTTATTAAACTATCATTTTGTAATAACATATTATATATTCAAATTTATACTATATGTGACATTTTTATATAACTATCATGTTATTATTATTCAATATACAACGCGCGTAGTGTGATATAGAACCTCTTTGAATAATTTCAATAAACTTAAAATACTCTAATAGATAGCGTACATATTCATTTTAGGCGTAACATTTACATAACAATAGGTTCATTAAAGAAGGAGTTAAACACACGACTCGACACGAACTTATCCGAGACGAACTTAACCAACACAGAAACGCACTATTTAACCCAGCCCACAGCGCAGCGAAGCGCAGTTGCTCTCTCACATCTCTCATACAACCTTCTTCTCCTCATTGTGTGGACGCCAAAGTCGGGTAGCTGTTATCAGTCCGCCGCGGCCACCAATGTCCTTCCTTTCCTTATTGTGTGGACGCCAAAGTCGGGTAGCTGTTATCAGTCCGCCGCGGCCACCAATATCCTTTCTTTCCTTATTGTGTGGACGCCAAAGTCGGGTAGCTGTTATCAGTCCGCCGCGGCCACCAATAATATAATCCTTCCTTATTATCCTTACACATACATACGCCGAGTCCGTAGCGATATATATATAAAAATACTATATTCATTACAATTCAATTACTTAAAACCGTACGAGTTTCTTATCACACACGTGTCATTATTAAGCAATAAAAACACTGTTGTTCTTTCGTTCATACATATACCTATACCTATACCTCTTAAAAGTGTCGTTAAAGGTCATTAATTCTAGCGGTCGAACAATCCTATTACACCCATGTGACTATTTTTGGTCAGCAAGGAATGTAGTCGGCTTATAATAACTCAGTAGACGTGGTTATTTCTGACAAGCGCACTGATTATTATAATACCATTGGTAGACCGTGTACTGAATTACACTTTAACGAGAGATAGATGGTCGTAGGATAACGTTAAAACACCAGTGTCTGAAATATATTTTATGAATGGAAACATTCGTGTTAAAACAACGTTCATTTCGACATATCAAGATCACATACTCAAGGAATATCGACAAGGTCATAGAGCTTCGAGTGACTCCACGACAAGGTATGTACTGTATACAATATTATAACACTGTGTAATAGTAAGTCTAGAGGCAGGAAGTGAGCCCTTGTAGTAAACATACACACATGCACACCCCGATTAAGAGCCGTTTTCATACTTATTTAAAATATCCATTCACCGCCGCTTCCCCTTGCTTTTCTTCTATTACAGTTCTTATCAGCTTAACATCTGATACACCTCACATCGTGGGGTTCAAATGTTAAACTAATTTTTTCAAATTGGTGGAGAATTTGGGGCTTGCTCCTACTCCACCGCGGGTTGACCCGGTATTGCAGTACCACCGGGAACGGCCCAAATAAACGTCTTAAAAGCACATTTAAATAATACTAAATTTGTTTGACTTAATTTTTGAAAAACCAAAATAATATTGGAAAAATCATAATTGGGTAGAAAAAATTCCAAAATTATTTTGGAATTCTCAAAATTAATATGGAAAAGTCGAAATCCTTCTCGGGGAAGACCCAAAATTATTATGACTTGTTCATAATCACGATGGACGACTCAAAATTATTTTGAATAAGTCAGATCCATAATATTTTTCGAAATTACATGTGTACAATACAATCATAGTTTTTGAAGAATAACAATTCATTAAATTTCGAAAATAGTTGTGGACTTGTTTAATTTTATGTTCAAATTACAATATATTATTTTGTCCTCGACTACTGTATAGTAACTAATTTAAAAAACAGCAGTCGTTTGGTTTCAAAATGATCGTCACCACCTGCTTAAGCCGCAGTAGCCCAAAAATTAAACAACAATCAAAGACCAGTTATTTTGAAAAATGTCAAATTCCAAATATTATATACCATGGTCAACAAAATATAAAATATACATATGAAGTATTTATTAAAAAACAAATACGTAGCAACCGACATTTATTATTACTAAATTCAATCAGTTTTTATAAAATATTGTCATTACTTCATATTGCTACACTTGGTCAAAAATGCTAAATACTCCTTAGGGAACCAAACATTTTAAATTTCAAAATTCAGTTTTTTAAATTTCCTTTATTCATTCATCGCGTGGTTGTGTGATGTAACTTGGTATTTGCTAAATAATTGAATCTTACAAACATTGCCATGGCTCTTAATAACCAAAATTCCATTCATTATTACATTGTTCAACAATTAACATATTATCAGTCTGTCCATTTATCGTCAAGTACCTAATGTACAAACATATTTTAAACGTGCACAATATTTAAATAATGTAATTTAGTTTGAATTTAACTACATTTTATGCAGTGTGATATCATATTATATTATTAAAAAAAAGAATATTGTGTTTAAATAAGTAAAATAAACTCCCATTCTCCGCCAACGACCATACCACGTTGAATACACCAGTTCTCGTCCGATCACTGAAGTTAAGCAACGTCGGGCGTAGTTAGTACTTGGATGGGTGACCGCTTGGGAACACTACGTGCCGTTGGCATACTTTTTGCATTTATTACTGTACACCATTTTTTTGTTGTGTTGTATGAACTTAAATTGTACGTCCACAGGCGGATAAGCTAAATTTTTGTTACTGGAAAAATATATGAAAACGGCTCTAAGCTGTTATTACTATCATCCACTTTTAATACATATTTTTTTGTTAAAATTGTTTTGGTTGAATCTTTAAAAATGTATTTCATGTTAAAATACTTAATATAATTGAACACATTATTTATAAAATATAAACATACCTACATTTGTATAAATGTTATGTTAAATAATAATAATTCAAAGAATAACGCAGTTGGGTATTGTTGTATTTAATTTGTCTATATCCTTCTTAACTTTTTTTTTTATTGGAATATATTTAAACATATTATCTAGTAGTAGATGTTACAATTGCATGATAATTGCTCATTCCGCCATTCCATAAAGTTCAAAAAGTATGAAATAAGGTTTTAAAACTTTTTTCTAAGCTTTATAGTTTTAATTTTTTTTCAAATGATACCTACACAATGTAGAGTACAATATTGGTAAACAACAATATAGTTATTCTTGCCCTGTGATCTACAGTGTCATCCTATGCCTAGAGCTACTGCTGTTGTAGGATGGGTAACAATGGGCATTTCAGATAGAGAAAATGATATTTATTTATTTGTCGGTAATGAAAAACTGAAAGGCGCTTACAAAATGAACATAAATGATTCAAAATGGGATACCCTACCTGATATGATCAATGCAAAAAGGTTTGCTAGTAAGTGAATAATAATAATTGTGTTTGAGAAATATTATCCGAATATGATTTGTATCATGTTCGGGTATATCCATGTTGTCGTTTCATTGTCTATCTGACCTTTCAAACCTATTTCGGATTTAGAGCGATTGTCAACATTTCACTCTTGTGACTATACTGTAGTACTGTGGTTATCGCTTTGACACAGCAATTGGTTAAAAAAGTCAGTAAAATAATGACAACATGAATAGTTCCGAAAATGATGAAACTAATAGTTTATACTACGAAAGATTTACCTCGTGCATATGATATATATTTATAACACTTTATTTTAAAATGCAGATGCCGTTACTATTGAAAACGATTTATTTGTTGTCGAGAAAAATACCACTTTGTGGTTCACAAAAAATGATGAAGAACCCGAGGGAGTCTTTTGTGAAAGATATATTGCTGAAAAAAACATATGACAAGAGATTGAGTCATCAAATATATTAAGTGATTATGATCACATAATTTGTTTTAATGATGCGAGATTGAAAACATTTAATATTGACATATCATAAACATTTTAATATTATATACTATGAAATTGTAATAATCAAAACTGAGTAATACTAAGTAGTGAATATAAATATATAACTAATATACATTATACAAGTTTAATTTGTTTTTTGCTCCAAACACAAAGAGAAAAAGAAACATCATTGTAAAATTAATATAACTGATTTTGATGGATTAAATTCTCAGTTGGCATTAAGGCTAAACTTAATAGAAGGCTATCACAACTCTTCAAGAGTTTTTGCCGCCACCGACACCTCTTTCCACTCTTTTCGATTTTGTACTTTTTCTTCCCAATTTGGTATCCCTAGTTTCTCTAAGTCCTGCCTTATCCCATCTATCCATCGCTTCTTTGGACGTCCTCTTGGTCTCTTCCCTGTGGGTTTCCATTCGCCCGCCGCTTTAAGGTACTCTGAGCGAAATTTGCATAAGTTAAATTTAAAAAAAGTTTGTCGGGTACACGTTTTATCAGTGTTTTCCATCTAGTCTTGCCTCCAATTTAAATCCTCATAATTATGTATTGTATGTTGTTTTGCTGTTATAAATATTTTAAACATACCAAATCTGTGGCTTGGGTCTAAAAGAGCCTTTTTCAATTTTGGGCATAAACGAGTTGGTCCGCTAAATTCATAAATTAAAACATTATTTATATACACTCTGAAGGCAGGTTAGGTTAGGTTTCAATAGTTCAGTACATATGTCCCGAGGGTATAAGCAACCGAATATGCAGTTCGGTAAAATAGACCGACCCAGAATATTACTATTTTTCATTCAGCCGTACTTAACAGTATAAAATAAAAACTAAAATTGTGTCATTACGGACAATGAAGTCTTTAAAAAAAAATTTCTAAATAATTTATAGGATCTACAATTTGTTAATATTACATGGTAGGTTGTATTATGTTAGCGAATCTGACAACTGCGGTGTTTGTTTGTTCGGGAATTTTTTCCTGCCAGTGCCTACGCCTACCTACCAAATTAATTCGACTATCATTATATTAAAAAAAACTATCCTTATCGGTTATCCTTCTGCACAGTTTAAACGTTGGAGAGTTCCGGATGCACCCTGTGATAGAGAGCGGTAGAAGGGGTTGGCGCTGGCGCTGTTATACTGCCAAGTCGTGTCGACGGTCAACGTGCAGTAGCTTGCGGCGGTACGCGTGCAAGACACGGTGCTGTTTTTGGGGTTCAACAGTCAGTCACACGGGTAAGTACTAAACATTTTTTAATTATTTCAAAAAAAAAATAGTTAATCGAGAGGGAGTAGAAGACGTGACGTCGAATTCACTGTGCTTACTTTTTTAACTTTGCCGTGGAGCCGAGACGGTATCGTTTTCGAAATGATGATCGCCTTTTATTTTTTTGTACCAAAACCCAATTTACCGATATGGCGCTTAAATTTTTTTCTACTTCATCCTAGTTTCTATAGATTTTTAGATTGCCGGTTAAAAATGTTAATAATCATTGGTTTAGTGTTTCGACTTTCCGTACTAAAAATAAATAAATAAACGCAAATTTTAACTAACTTACAAATACGTCTCATAACAACAAAATAATAACCTAATGAAAAAATAGTAGAATTTATCTCATTGATAAATGTATTAACGGTAAACGTGCAGATTGTTATTCTTATTGTAAATGATTGTTTTTTTCCATAATCAAAAAATAATAGTACTAAATACACGAACATTTTACTCTAGCTGTATTTCAGTACCACAAAAATGAAAAAAAAATGTCTCAATTGTACCTATTATATTTGATTAATTATTATGGAGCTATATAAGCTTATAGGGAAGCTATGTATAGGAAAGTGCCAAATTGTATTGAATTAAAGACTAAAACGCGAATTTACTTTCTCAAGTGTCTAACCAAACCAATTTCATTTTTTTTTCTGTTATTAAAATTTACCATTTTTTCTAGGTGGGCTAAATGACCGATTTTTTTTTGTTTTTAAAATTTTACTATAAACATTTGTATTTTTCTATTTTATTTTCTAATAGCTTAATAAAAAATCGGCCTTTTAGCCGCCCCCCCCCCTCCATAGAAAATTTTTTTTTTGACGTTTTAGATCTAAAATCCTGACATAATTACGCCAACTTAGGATGGTCCGATTTAAATTCTGTAAAAATATTTGAGCTTCACGGCCTCTTTTCTAGGTTATTGAGGGAATCGATTATTAATATTTTAACTAAAAATATGTTTAAATCCTATTTTAATTTCTCAAATTTAAACATTTTTTATTATTCACTTCCTTGTCTTTTTGAGTAAATAAAATAGTTATTAAAAAATGTACAGAATATTTTTACAGAATTGAAATTCGATCATCCGTAGTAGGCGTAACTATTTCAGGTCTTTAGATCTAAATATTGGTTTCATGTACTACTAAAATGACCAAGTCGTAGAAAAAATTTGTATTTACTAAATGCAATACTATGCAGCGTATACAAGTTACAAATGAACCTGAAAACAAATTGATATGGTCGAAATTTATTAAAACCCCTTTTTTAAATTAAATATTGCCTATATAAAACTGATGCTTAAAACCCGCCCGCTTTCAATCCCCATAATATTGTTTATGCCCGAATAAAGGCATAAGAATACAGATATCATAGTTTAATTAATTACACAAAAATATAAAACAAAATATAACCATCACAATAATCTTAGAGCATGTCATTTTTCCTTAAATTTTTGTGCAACCAATCGTCTATGGCCGCATAGGTACTGGCCGCTGTACTTTGTCATTTTAATCGGCGCATCGTGCATCTGCCCGGTTGCCAAGGGTGTACACGGATCGATCAATACAGGTGTTGAACGGTATACTGCACTTGTGCAAATGCATTCTAGGCTCTAATTCCACAACCTACCACCGTCCCGAAGGCGTCACGTTGGTACGAAACACAAAATCTTTGGCATCAGCACACAATTAACGTTACGGTAATTATAGTACAAACATTTATAATTATTAAGAAAACAGTTAGGTCAATAAAACGTTCAAATAACATAAAAAAATTATTCGATATTTTCGAATAAAAAATTATTTAATATTATGTAAAGATAACATATTTTGTTTATTTATTCGAAAACGACAAATAATCGCGGACAAAGCTACACTTTAATGGACACCCTATTTTTTTCGTTTTTTTTAAAATTATTATTCGATAGTATTTTGCATGCTGATTACGAATATGTAAACATTTTGCCCAGCTCGCACTTAGTTTGGAAGTTACGGATTAGTTTTAAAGTTCGCCGACGTCGACAGACGCGCGCGCCCGGCACCGCACGTCTACCCGCGCCCGCTGGGTACTTTGTCCGTCGATCGCCGCTCTCGACACGACGGCCGCCCGTTATACTGAATACCTCTTGAGGGGAACGGAAAGCGCTATTTATTAAGGAGCAAAGGATAGGCAATATTTGACAAAAAATGTATCTCGTAGCCATTGTTCATAAGCCTATTAATTTCAAGGTGAACGTATATTACAATTTTCTAATTACAATACTTTTAAAGTTATTTTTCTCCGTGTTATGACGAAAGTTTGATAAAAAAATTATGTGGGTCTCGGCGGGACCCGCGGCAGAAGTGAAACTTCAAAACGGTGTGTTGCTGAACTTAAAAAAATTGTGTAATAAAAGATACGCTATTGTAAAGATTTGTACATTAATTAAAATAGTATAAAGTTGGAAAAAACAAAAATGTATTTCTTAGTGGGGGCCGATCATTGACGTCTTCGCAACTTGAATGCATTTTGTACTGTTATACGGCAGATGCAGTGGACTTATATGTTTTAACGCCAACATACACTAACATAATATATCCACATACACTCATAAAATAAACGCATTCTAGACAGCGCTCTTGAATTGAAGAATTTTCACAAAATTACATACTTTGTCTATTTGTACTTCTTAATGTTTTACATTGAACGTGGTGAATTTGTTTGAATACACAATACGAGATAATCAAACTAACTCGGTGGTTACAATCTGTTACTTAATTATATTATGTTGACGCAACCAGTTAGTTAGTTTGTTAATTATTATAACAATAAGTGTTTGTTAACGAAGAGGCAAATCATTAGCTTGTACTTATATATACATTAAGCCAACAAAAATTAGTACATCAGAATAATCAAAATATGAAAAATAATAATATATTAGTCAGTCAGTGATATTAAAAAAAAAAGATTACAACTTAACTTGTACTTGTCATTATTATAAATTCGGACTTTTTTTTACGTTTTGTCGTGTCCAAACTACATTTTAATATGTTTTCTTAGCTAAAAATAACGGTTTTAATCGAAGTTAATGCGTCGTAATTATAATCTTGTATATTAACACATTTCGTTAAAGTAGTCTTGAGTTTAATTTTTAGTCTACAACACGACTAGGTCGGCTTGGACAACTTTTTAGACAAGATATTTTGCCATCCTGGGGAATTGGGTATGGTGCGGTTGTTTCCCGTTGTCTTCCGCACCGGTAAGGATAGGTTAAAAAAAAATGTTTAAATTTATTTTTTACTCGGTTTACTATGTTAAAAGCTTTTTAGTTGAAACTGTGTAGTTATTCAAAGTAAAAGCAACACAAAGTGCATCTGTAAATGAAGGCTACAGTAAAGGCCAAATCGCATTATGGCATTATTGATCTTTAGTTTTTTCCTACCGTTGGTTAGATTGTATGCGCGTACCCAAAAACAAAAGCATCTAATAGCAGATAATGTCGTGTGTAATTGTTAATAATAATTTATAACAGACGTGCTCCAGTTCAATATATCACTTTAATCATTTTTACAAACTTGATCACTTTACACTGGAAAATTAAAAAAATATATTTGAGATTATTTCAGGGTTTAATAATTAACTGCAATCGTTTTTTTTTTCTGTTAGCTTTGGCCTTAGCGACAACGACCGCCACCACACACCGAGAACACAATAACGTCCAACTGGTCCAACATGTTATCCGTCCGCGGATTGGACCTGGTCATCACGGCCACGGTGGTTCTTATCTTGGCGTCATATTTTTCATCGTCCATATCCGTCCATGCGTGAGTACAGTGTTTTTCTAAATAAAGTGGTACAAATCATTTTTACACCATTTCACAGAAAAGACAAATGCAAATCGAAAATGTATATTCAACACATTACGGGAGTGTCATTGATTGTAAATTATGTATAATAATATAGCATACAGGGCGGCCCACATTGATTTGACAAATGAAATAACTTTTGTTCTAGTGAACATTTTTTTTTTTTTTTTGATAAATAAGTAAAGGTATTTTATCTGCGCGCATTTCTCTACCGCACTCCGCCTCTTTAGTTAAAGAATTGTAAACGAAATATTATTTTCTGAAATCAAAATAACCGCCAAACTACAATAACTGAACTTTAAATAGCAATAAAAAAACGTTCAGGTACACATATGACCTTTAAATTTTATGTTATGTCTATAAAAAGCATAATAAAATTAGTAATTTATAATTTTTTCGATATTGGTTGGATATTTTAAAAAGGGACTTTTGAGCAACTAGAATTAATTTTCGGACCACTGCGACAGCAGCTTTGATTTGAAGAGTGTAATATTGGCAAAGTAAGCGCGGATCTCTCACGTAATGCCCAACTATGATATAATATTAGCACAAGACAGTGTAAAAACTGAACGTCAGAGTACTCAAAAAAAAAAAGGTACCCGAGTTTGATTGATTTAATTATTTTTGCTTATAGAAAGTGCACCAATTATGATACAGCGGATCATAACAGTCTGATAAAAAGGCTAATGTGGCAAACGGAACCTTGTCGATATAATAGTTTGACAAGGCCAATACCGGAAAGCGGACCGACGAGGGTCTGGGCCAGAGTGGACAAGTATATTATCCGAAAATCTTCTACTGCTCGACAGTTGGTTAGTTGGCGCACAGTTGCCCGTTTCCATATTTTTTACTATCATTATTCACTTACTGGAATTTCATCATAACACTCCAGACACTCCAGATAAGTATAAAACCCCGAGCGAAAAGCGCTAATCCAATATAATAATATCTCGGGCTTGTAAGACGAGTGATTTTAATCTGGTTTAAAAGTAATATAACAATGTTGCGACTTGTAGTAGGCCGAAAAAGGCGCTGGCGCGTTTTAGGATCGAACATATCTCATTTTTCAACTGTCATCCATTTTACACTAGATAGTTTTTAATCGAGAATTGTACTTATCGACCGTGTGTACTATTTGACCGTTTATTTGACGTAGAATTTAACTCCAGACGTGCTGATAAAATTTCGGTGGCGCGACAGCCGTCTGGCGCATTCTTTATCCAATTTGAACGTACGAGGAAAGGACAAACTTAAGCAGCGAATTTGGACTCCACTCGTTGACATAGTCAACTACGACACGGACTCAGATCCCCAAGACATCCTGGAGACGGTGCAACCGGACGGCACGGTTGTCTATTCGGCCAGGTGAGATATAGTGTATTATATTATTTTATTATAATTGTTAACTGTGGTGTTTGACTCTGGGAGTTTTGTCAAGACGTACGTTGGTTGCAGGTTGGAAGTGCCGTCTGAGCTGTGCACGATGAACTTGGAAAAGTTCCCGTTCGACAAGCAGAAATGTTCCCTGTTACTGCAGAGTCGTGAGTAGTGTTGTCCGGTGGATGGATTTCTGATTGAGTTATATCGCGTGTCTTGTGTTTTCTGCAGTGTTGTACAACAATACTGATTTGGAACTGTTGTGGGAACACGTTTCGCCGGAGGAGCTCAGGAGCAGCTTAGAATTTACCCAATACAGCTTGGCGTCGATTCGGACGACCGTGACGGTCAGCGACCACTACGAAGAATTGGGTACAGACTAAAAAAAAAAATTCCAGTTAGAGTGGGTTCAGGGCATAGTGGGGACGAGGAGATCACAGGTCTACAGAAATTATTATAACTGAAAGCGATAAAATCACTTTTCAATAAACGTTTCGATGCAAATCTGTAGAGAGTAGGTTCAAACCGGTACAGTCCAAACTAAGTACACTATATAAAATTAAGCACAGCAAAAAAGTATTATACGTTAGTAAGTATAGCAGTAATTGTAATTATTATTGAGTAAGTAAGGGAGTTCTAGTGTTCGCAGTTAAAAATTACAAATGTCGATAAAAACATTGAACCTAATGGCAATTACGTGCTTGAATATTAATTTTTCGTATTACAGTGGATCGATTAGGGTTGATCGTCTGTATGTTAAAATAAATGTCCATAGTTACACATTAATCATAATTAACTCACGCATAGCCACATGGAAATTTGGCGTTTTTCTCAATTTTTGAAGGGGAAAGGTGGACTTTTTAAAATGTTTGGCCCAATAAAGTACCTTTCAGGTATAATTTCTGATCTATAGAGTTGCTATATGAAGACATCGGTTCAGCGGCTTAAAAGATGTCCAGACACAAAAATTAAAAAACAATACCTTCTCAGTTCCGCATCGAAGCTAATATAACATATTTTATATAAGTAACTCACATTCGATTACAATGGTTTATTGTAGTTTTTTTTTTGTACCATTTTTTTCATCAAGCTGACAACTACAGCCAGTTGAAATTATACTATGAGCTGGGTCGCAAACTCGGCGTTCACACCGTGGCCTACTACTTCCTGGGTTTTTTTATGGTAGTCATGTCTTGGGGGTCGTTTTGGTTGGAGCCGAATGAAGCCTCCGGCCGCGTTAATATAGGTGAGACACCCTTTTAAAGTATACCTTAGAATAGATTGTATTTTTTTTTTATCTTTGTGTCTCCTACCTACTATAAAGGAATCTATCCGATGATGGCGTTAATCGTTCAGTACTTGTATTCGGAAAGACTGCAGCCAATATTGTTGAACATCAAAGAAATATGGCTCCTCGTATGCATTTCATTTATAGTCAGCTCTTTAATGGTGTCTGCGGTTGCGCACTTCATATCGCGGCAAAAGTAAGTAAAATAAAAAAAGCAATTTACTGTGCTGCAATATGTTGCTTCCTATTTGTTATTCCATGTTTCGATAAAAAAACATGTGGCAATCCACAAACGAATGTGGACACGGCTGAAAAGTTAAATTTTTTTTTATACTACGCAATATATATACAGGGTGATTTATTAAGGATAAGACACTCGTTTTCTCGGGTTATATTAATATTTTAAACAATAATTTTTTGGTACACGTTGTAATTTTTATGACATTTTTTTATAAGCTTCTATTGGCCTAATACTCTAATATAAGACCTTCATTTTTTTGAAATTTTTATTAATCATATTTACCCAAAAAATAGAGGTTTTTTATGTTTTAATTTTATTTGTAAGGCACATTTTTCACTTTTTACTCCTAAAAAATAAAAAATATCAAATTTGACCAAGACATGTTTTATATATATTTTTTTTAATAAAAAAAACTGAAATTATACATTTATTTTTTCAGATTTTGAAAATTTTATAATTAAAAAAAAAAATAGAAATAAATCTCGGCTCATTTCCGTTATTAGACCAAACGATTTGATTTGAGTCTTTGGTTTTATGATAAAAATTTCAGAATTTTAAAACAGGTCGAAATCGATTTTTTGAGAAAAATAACATTAAAAACCTCTATTTTTGGGGTAATAATGAGTGATCAAAATTTCAAAAAATGAAAGTCTTATAATAGACCAATAGAAGCTTTGACTCGGAATGCCCATGTAATAAGCCAGGGTTACTTATATTACATTAATTTACATATTAGTATAATATAATAGCTAAGCTTTTTTTTTGTATAATGGTCAGTCAGTTTATTATTGTCTAATATTCAGTCAGTTACTATGGTCAACCAGTGACTCTTAAAAGTGTTTATAATTAAACAGTTAAACTTATCTTTTAAAAAGTGTTTATTACTTCAGTGTCTATTTCATCTTCATTCTTTTTTTTATTGGCTCACGACACCCCATATATATATTATAATATATTGTAAATGTGTTAACGTACAGTATTTTTATTTCAGCAAACAATTCAAACTGACTTTAATTCCTCAAGTTCTACGAAAGTTGTTATCCATCGTTGGTAGCAAATTGGACAAATTCGAATGGAACAGGGGTGTGGACGAAAACGAAAGAAGTACTATTGGAACAGCAAACGTAGGTTCTAGTTTTATCAGTACTCTAAAAAAATGCATTAAGAGGATCGCATGCGGTCTTTGTTTAAGGAGTTTTAGTACAAGCAATATTTATAAAAATAAGGTTTTAATAACTTTTTGACCGTGTCGATTAATTTACCGGTTAATTCGTATAAGATTCGAGGTATTATTTTTATTTTAAACAATCTTTTCTATGAGTATAAGCCATTTTGGTTTATTTTAGACCAAAAAGCCAGACAAAATGTCCACTACATAGGATGGTCTGTAAAGAGATTCATTATGTATTCGAGTTCTTTGACAACTTAACTATATATTATCATGTAGGAAGCCGATTTTAATTTAAAAATTTCAGTTTCCTGTAATTAAATATAAATTAAAATGGCAATTTTTTCAATATTAAAACCCAATTTTTTATAGAACAAAAGTAATACATCAAAAATCGATTTCCTACATAATTTAGTAACCAATTGCCAAAGAACTCCCATCCTAAGTAGTCGACATTTGGTTTGGCTTTTTCGTATAAAACATAAAAAAACAGACCGCATGCAATCCCCTTAAACAAACAACACCTGCTTATCCGTGCATCTTCTAGGACCTAGGTTGTTATCGTCCTCTTCCCCTTTTCCACACACACACACACACAAATGGTGGTTTAGGCCAGGCAAAACTCCTTTTTCTCTCTCTCCACATTACTCTGTTGACTGACCACATTAACTGAACGAATTCGATAGTTGTTGCGTTACAACACAACAAAATCGCTTAAACATAAACGATTCAAATAATTTTAAATCATTAAAACCAGAGGACGATATATCAGGTTTTTTTTTTTATTATTTCGCAGAGAATAGAAATATTATTTCTCGATTATTAAGTCGATTGTTTTACCTGATTTACAGACTGTGGAGCACGTGATGACCTCACAAGAATTTGCATTATGGATGGATCGACTAAGTCGCGTCCTTTTCCCGGTGGCCTTTCTTCTATTTAATTGTATCTATTGGTTTTACGTTTATGTGTAAATCCACCTAAAAAATTGGGATTTTAACGACAAAAAGATAAACAGCCATGTTCATATTTCTTAAAATCGTATAAAAGGTAGAAAAACAATTACACATAAAGAACAACAGTATGTTTTTAACGAAAATTAGAAAATTAGTAATACAACTTTTATAACAATATATCTATCGTCGTTTTTCCCATTTAAATAATTTACTGCTTTTTTAGACTACTTATCTCATGTTTGATTACATTTTGAAATCGTTTTTTGCGAATTCATAATCATAAACATGGACGGATGTACGCTGTTAATACAGCCATAGCCGTCCGAAATCCACACTTATTCATTCATTAGTTCATTTTAATCATATTTTATATTGCATTTAACAGAAAACAGTTAGACTTAAATTTTTTAATATTAAATACTCGGTAATTATTAGCGTCTTGAATGGTTTATTCATATATTATCAGAGTATTTTTCTTAACCACATATATCTTTATGCGTTGTCCATTAAATGAAAACCGTACATCGCCGGACTGTCTAGGTTCATCATTATGGAACTTACTGGTATTATCATATAATAAGTAAAATGTGCAAACATTTTAGTAATAAGAAAAAAAGTAAACTAAATCCATGGACAATTTTTAATAAAACGAAAATGCAACAATCCATTATAATATGTAATAAAGTAGTTTATAAAGTATAGGGATTTATTGAATAAGCTAATGTATATGGCAAAAAACATATGTTATGGTACTAAAATTATTAATTCACGAAATAATTTTAAAATAGTTTGGAATCTAATCAAATATTATATTATATTATAGAAAAGTAGAAAAAAATGTTAGTGAAATAATAGATGACAGAAGGAAGACTGTTGACCTTTCTCAAACTATTGTCATGATGCCCCTTTAAATCGCATAATGCGACTAGTAAATAAAAATAATATTAATTTATTTGTTAAAAACTCGTTAGAAGATTTTGTTAATTATTTAAATAATCCAATTGTGTAAATATTGTTTATCTTTATCTATTATTTTGTGTTGTTGAAATCCATTGTATTTGTCAGCTATTATGTTAATCTGTATACTTTTATTTTTATGTAAATTCTATGTTTATGTTCCTATTCTTCTCTTATGTGTAATTGGGTTTAAAAATACAATAAATAAATAAATAAGTGTCTTTTCTTCAATGTCTAATAAGTAAGCATGCAGTTCCCAATACACGATCAATCAAGAATATCAATGTATTATTTTAACTTAAAAATATCTATTTGTATCATAACCCTTTTTTTTGACATACGAAAACCCTTAAAAATTAAAAAGTTTGTTTTTAATTAACTTTGAAATTTATAGAAAATACGTTACATTTTTTATGTAGCCTTTGCTACTAGGGAGGGTATTCTAGAGATGGGCTCTCCCTCCTTTAATTACACCTATGGATTTGTATGGAAAAAATCGCCTTCGATGATGTATCTAACCTATGTTTTCAAACAGGGTTTTGAACCCAATTTGTATTTGAACTTCACAGTGATAGTTTTCAAAACCGATTATGAGTCATTGAACAATTTACCAACACAACGTTAACCGCTATATAAACAGCTGTACAATGTATTGTACCTACGCTAGGAAATGTGTCAATATTTTTGTAATCTTCAGTATAAAAACTCTCATACATACATACATATGAATATCGTAAAAAGGCCTTTGAATAGTATGTTCTTTTTCGAATTCCAGCAAGCAAAATAATAATTTCAACCATTGCATCAGCCCCTAACCTAACCCAGCCGGTTGTTTTTTTTAATTGTTCTCAATTGGCAATGTAAAATATAAACAGATATTTTATCGAGCGTTTCAATTGAAATTCTATTAATTTGCTGATAAAACTAAATTGTTATTGTGTTTTCTGCTGTTGTTGTCGTTGTAACTGTTCTTATTTGTACACATTTTTTTATATGCGAAAATATTTCACTGAAAAACAACTTATTTTTTTTGTTCCACATAGGTCGGTACTATTAGTTTTTATAACTTTATGCGAATTGTTGTTTTCAATATTCCACAGTATTTTTTGACCCTGCATATTATTTTTCTGTTCGAATACATGTAAAAGCAATTTTCATAGATCAAATTGATTAACACAATACAGTATACCTTGGTAGCCTGTACTTTAAGTATAATTTTAATTCCTAAAACTACAAATAAAGAATAAAGATTAATTAACCCCACTATTTTTCAAAACGAATATGCTTTGCTTAAAAGTTAATTTAATATAATATAAGTTGGCGCTTAATTATCAAAATGTAATCTATAATACGTGATAATTACGAAACGATTTAAAAGTATATATATATATATATATTTTATTAATTGAATACAGGGTGATCATATTATCGTGAACTATTGTATATTGTATTTATACAATGCAATTTAAATTTTTGTAATGGATTTTTCTTAAGTATGGCTATCGACGGAGCATATCCGTCGATAGCCATACTTAAGTTTAGGCTACTATTTGTTTTACCGACTATTAAAAGCAGTAGTTGTGAATGAATAAAATATTTATGTGCGCAAATCGATATCGATATCGTAAATAGTATATCTAATTAGATAACATTTTCAAGTTTTGACTATTTGCTATGACCTTCGAATTTTCAACGTAAAAAGTAACACTAAGATGTGTACAAAAAAAAAATTTGTAATTCGAATATCGACAATTTTATATATTGTTTTTGTCGTTCGATCGATGTAATCTTCTGCTTAAAGGATGGCAAAAAAAATGACTAACACATTCTCATGTGTGCACAAGTGCCGAAATTGTATACTTTTCGAAAATATTTTCCATTTATTATAACCTTAGCATTTTTAAATTTGGTAAAAAGTTTTTACCAAATTTAGTTTTTAAAAAAACGTATGTTTTTTTTGTGCTAAACATAGTGTTTAAACTAAGGAAGAGAGGGGAAAAGAGAGGAGATATAACCTAAAGTACCACACGAATATTCGTTGTTGACGCCATCAGTCTTAATACATCATTATAATAAAAAAAAATACATTTTTTTAGAAATTAAAGAATACTCTCTGCTCGCTTCACATCGCATAAAACAAACAACAAGTCGTTTTTCGATTTATATAAGAAGTTCCCGTTTGACAGTTTAAAATTTGAGTGTTATACATTTTATTATATTAATTTTTTTTTTTTAATTCACTGTAAAATCGACAATCGTAGAAAGGAACATATTATTCGTTTTGTAGCCTAGTTAAACTTAAAACTAAATTAAATATAAAAGTGACTTGGTAATTTTCTCAATAATTGTTAGATGTTATTCATGTTTATTATTTTATTTCTAAACTATAACAAGACACCATACTTTATACTTATTACAACTACTCATTTACGTATAACACTTTCTTATTGTGCTTGCTTTATACTAAATTGGTTTTAACCTACTACCCACAGATTCAAAGTCGTAGGGATTTTAGTCTATATTTTTGAACTTAGATTTACAGCGCTCCATAACTTTATTAAAAATAGTCGAATTAGTTTCAATGATATATAGATTATTCTTAAGACATAGTACTACCGTTAAACGTTTACAACCCAAACGAATATCACAGTCCCCCTCCCGTAAAATAGATAGTATTTTTTTTCTTTCTTTCACTTTTACAAGTTTTAGGGATTTTAGTCTGAAAATTTGACAAAAGGTAGATCTAGAATTAAACTATGACTTCTCAATAAATGTTATTATTGATGTTTATTTTTTTATTTCAAAAACTATAACAAGAAACCATATTTTATACTTGCTATACCATACTTATTACAACTACTCACTTACGTATAATACTCTCTTACTGTGCTTGATTGGTTTTAATGAGAAGTGTTAATTCGAAAGTAATTTTATCACTGCTTGTCGTAATCATTTATATAGATCTGCGCGTTCCTCTCACCTCAATATGCCATGACCTTAATGTATTTGTTCAATTTATTATTAAACAAATCAAAATTGACCAATACAAAATATTATTCTATCATAAATAACTAGAAATTTATGGGATTTTTTTTAAACGTATATTTGAATTATAATAGTCAGTTAATAATTATAAAATAGAATTTTATAACTTTACAGATTTTGTAATTTTATAAAATGTATTTGACAATAGCCATTATAATAAATTGCGAATAAATGTTGCGGCTGTGGATCAGGTGTTTCGAGTTCTATGTTAGCTGGATCTTCAATTATTCTAGACTGATAATTCCTTTTACAGTATGAATTTGATTAAAATTTTTTTGGAATTCGTTACGGTACGTACGTAACACGGTCTATGGTACATACCGCATCGTCCTCGAAGCCAACAGAGGCCCAGAGTTCAATTAAGCTCGAGTTGACGTTAAAATCTATCCGATTTTTAATTCGTCGCATTACTACATTGGGCTGAAATATTCCACGCATTCTCCGGATATCCTGCCCGATTCCGGCAATTACAATGTCTTTATTAGGTCTGCAAAAATCATTATAGAACTTACCCAAGCTTCGTAAGGCGGTGTTCATATTATTTTCGGTAGCATTGATTATTGAGTCGTGGTACATTTTGTCGCGTGATGCATTATTGAAAAACAAGGTGCTGTAGAACCTCCTGAACTCTTCCATCGTTTCGGACACCGCATTGTCGTACGTTGTTATTGGGAACTCATTGTTAGTTAACGAGAGGTTGGCCAGAACGAGCACCGCCATTTCGTCGATTTTTTGGATCATTTTCCTAAACTTGGTTATACATACCGCGGTTGTGGTGGGATTTTCAATTGTTTTACACACGAGTACTGCGGCCAAAGTGTAATGGTAACAAATGTTTAGAGTGCTGGCATACTGACAGCTGAAAAACTGATGTGCTTGACGGATTTGCTTACGTAAGTGAGTAGTTGTAATGAGTATGGTATAGTAAGTATAAAGTATGGTTTTGGTAAGTTTAGAAATAAAATAATAAACATGAATAATAACAATTATTGAGAAAATTGTACACGTCATAGTTCAATTCTAGATCTAACTTTTGTCCAAAAAGTTATGAAGCGCTGTAAATCTAAGTTGAAAAATATGTGGTGAACAACGACGATCATATAGACATCGGTTAAAATTGTTTTTGATACGCTTCAATCGGGTTGGCTGTATATGAATATTTATTCTGATATTGCTTCGAGCTTGA